TACAGTATTTGAAAAAATAATGTGTTTTTTGAAAATTAAAGCATGTCAACATATTCTGTTACACCAAATACACAAAATAATTATCTTTAAAATAGCATCATATGACCCCTTTAAAAAGAAAATGTGCATATCTTACAGTTTCCTTCAAATTCTATCTTTTAAATACAATGCTGTTTGACACAAAATTGAGAAGAGCACGAAAGGGGTTATCATTAGGCTACTATCTGTCTGTGCGTGACACCTGTGTGCAGAGGTTCTACAGTTCTGTCATCGGACTTGTTCAAACCAATGGACTGTTCAATCAATGAGCGCGTCCTTATTTCTGTCATTATGGTCTATGTTCCAACGCCATGAGATGAAGTCAAGTTCGCATCAATGATCATTATTCGTGCAAAAATATTTTCTCAGAACATGAGTTTTGCTATTTAGAACACTTAAAGCGGAATTGTCATGCGCCAAGCAATCCTCGATGTGATTAAAACATTAAAACACAGCATACCACAGGAAAATTGTTCGAAAGCGGCACATCCACTACAAATGTCTATTTAAATTCATATAAAAATGTTGTAATTTCTGGATAATGATTTCATGAATTTCAGTACTTAACTCTATTAATGAGAGTATCACATTTAATCGAAGTGTGTATATCAAATGTAAAACAGACTTTAAAATAATTCTGTTTACTTCATTATTTAATTTACTTCATTAAGTAAAAGAGTGCATATGCATGGTCTAGAGCAGTGTTTCTCAACTGGTGGGTCGCAAGATCGTTCTGAGTGGGTCGCGGAGTGTACAGTCAGAGAAACAACAAAAAACGTCATTCTAAATGTTTTTCTGATGCGAGACTTTTATTTTGAAAGATGTGCGTGAAAGCTGTTGATACTTTTTTTTTTTTTTTCCAGGGCCACAGTATTCGGGCTTATGGGATCGATATGAAGGCCAACGGTGTGGGGATTTGGGCTTAACCTACACTGATCTTGCACACTAACTCACAAGCTACAAGCTCTGGGACTCAGACAAGATGAATGACACGAGGGCAGAATTATCAAGTGAACCTCTAAACGTTCAAAGTTTCTGTGAGGAATCAGGGATGTCATGTAGATGAAATCTGATTTGAAAAACTGTGTTGTATTAGTGTAAATTGTACAAAAACAAGACTCAAAATTCTAGCACTGTCCAAGAATCACAAAACCAAGATGATTTACATAGGATTTCCATGGCCCAGAGAAAAGCAAATATTGTTTTTACATAATTCTGAATTGCATTTAGAAAAACAGAAAAACATGTTGCTTACCAGGAGGTCCTTGGAGTTTGGCTTTCTTAACTGAAAAAAAAAAAAAAAGTAAAAAATGGTCAGAACAACAAAATAATTACATTGTTGTTTCATGCTAAGAGCTACATATTGTACATTGGCACAAGTCTACGTAAAAAAACATTAAAATGATAGTCCATCCAAAACTGAAAATGCTGTCATAATTTACTCATCTCTTGTCTTTCAAACATGTATGAGTTACAGAACACAAAAGAAGTTATTTTGAAGAATGATGTTAACAGTTTTGGTGAACTCTGACTTCCAAAAAAAAATTTACACTGAGACATTTCTCAAAATATCTTATTTTGTGTTCCTCAGAAGTAAGTCACACAGGTTTGGAATGACATGAGAATGAATAAATAACCGAATTTACATTTTTCATTTTATAATTTAACCCTCCAGAGAAAATAATTTATTATTTTTAATTTATTATATTTACTTTACAACTCCAGTGCATTCTGTGTGTGGATTTAAACTGTATTTCCAAGCAAAAAATAAAAATAAATAAAAAAACAACACCCCCTAAACTATGATTTCACTCCATGTGTTCCGAAGACAATGTTCACATCTTGATTTGATACATGTTTTCTAATGTGATCTAATACAGTGTTTCTCAACTGGTGGGTTCGCAAGACCGTTCTGAGTGGGTCATGGAGTGTACACTCAAACAACTTCGACAACAAAAAAAAACGTTTTTCTGTTTTTTGAAAGACATGCATGAAAGCTGTTGACGCTTCTGTCAGATGCAGTTTAAGTAAAGAGTACCTGAGAAAAACATGCTGTCCCGATTCAATATCTGCGGTCAGATGAGATGTCAGGCTTAATGTCAGTCTCATTATTCTATCATTATTTTTGTAACTTGTTATGAAAAAAAAGTCTCTCACCTCAGAAAAATTAACTTTCCTGTCCTGTCAGACATTATACTGTGCTTGTAGCACACACTCTTCAATTGCACATGCAAATGCGGTGGCGCACGCTGTATATCATTTCACTTAAGCGCAAAAGAAACTACGAGTGAAATAAAAGTAAGGTACCAATAAATCGCATAACTGGTACTTTGTGTGTTAGCTGGGAAGGATTTGCATGAAGGTAAGAACATTTTTTAAACAAATTTTATATATATATATATATATATATATATATATCAAACATAAAGAGGATCACCACATGTTGTTCAGGAGGGTTTCAA